GGGTCACGCCGTCCTCTGCCTCAGTTCCCTGCCCCTCGGGGCAGGCTGTGTTTGAGTTGGGCTGCCAAGCTCAGCCCCTGTTTTTGAGCTGTTCTACCTTGCAGAGAGGCCCCACTGTGGGAAGCGAGTGGCAAATCCACTCTCCAGGGCTTATCCAGACTCCCCTTCCATCCTGGTGTCCTCGGCCATTCTGTCCCACAGCACTCTGACAAGCTCAGCAACTGTGATGAACAAAATCTTTTGCATAATCAATAATTAATGTCTGGGGTTTCCAAGCAGTTAATTAATCTCCTGGTGAATCGTGAAAAAAGTATTTAGGATAATTGTAGGTGTTTTCAAGCCAGGTGAGCAGAGGTTCAGAGTCAACCCAGGCTCTTGTGTCAACCCACATCCATCCCTGGAGAGCTTCTTGCTCCAAGTGATGCTGTTCATTGCCAGGGAGTGGACAATATTGATCATAAATATTTGCCTAATGAGATCATATCTGCTTTCCAGCATATGCAGTGAGTGACCTCAAAAGGCCTGGTGTCCTTTGGGTGAGCTCCCAACGAGCTTAATTGTCTCTCTGAGTCTTGCAGCTCTGGAGGTGACCTGTACTGGGGTGTGTGGTGGGGTCAGGTCAGTCCCAGCCATGCTGGGAATACTGGAGGCAGGGAACAGACCTTTGCTGGGGCACATCAGAGCATCCCACCCCAGTGCTCCCACCCAAAAGCTGGGAAATGCAGCACATAAACAACTCAGGCTCCAGCTTCAGGCCAAGATTTGAGAGTATTTCTCTGGTCACTGGTTTCGAATTCAGGGAATATCACAGGCTTCATCCACCCCAACCCCAACAAATTCTGACTTGGGAAACCTCTGCTAGGCTCACTACAATCTTCAGCAGCAGTTGGGCTTGGATACACCAGCCTCAGGCGAAGGCTTTGACCCAATTTCAAGCAACTTGGAGGGCTGAAAAGTCCTCGGAGCAGCTGTTTCTCTCTGTGCCTTTTGGGGACCCTGTGTGGCTCCACCCTGCTGTATCCTTGTGAGGTCTGGTAGATCAATCCCAACGCAGATCCGCAGCCATGGCTCCTCCCTGGTGACCAGGACAGGGCTTTGCAGTCCCTGACCAGGTCCCTGACAAACGTGCCTGTGTGCTGGGCGTTGCTCAGGTCCAGGCTTGCTGCAGTCCATGTACGTGTGAGCAGGCTGTGAGCCCACCCTCCCCAGCGCTGGCTCCTCAGCTCGTCCCAGAATAGCCAAGTCACTGACTCGTGGCTCATTTTGAACGATTGCCAAGCAGCTGCAGCTGTCCTTGACTTTATCTCTGCTCCAGTGTGGCTTTGCCCAGCTCCACAAGTTCACACTAGGAGACTCCACTCCCCCTTCCCAGAATAGAAGACACCCAGGGCCCAGCGTCAGCAAGTTTGGCAGCTGTGGGAAGTGTCATCCTTTGAGCAATCAGTAATTAGTCTGGTTGAAAGGCCAGAGTCCTTGTGGCTAATGAGTAGCTTGAGATGAGACCTACAACCTCCTGACCCTCTCTAAGTCTTGCTGGTGGCTTCCAAAGGCTTCCTGGATTGCTCTCACCTTTACGCTGGCTCACAAATGGCCTTCAGTCGTGGAAGCTGGTTCTCTCCAGCAGATCAGCTCATGGTCAGCTCTTGCTTGGTCAGATCTGGTTATCCCCTGTCCCTCCTCACACTGCCTGCTCCCCACACTTCCCTCAACCACATTTCCATCACACCTTCTATGTCCCCAGTCACTCGTGGTCTCCAGCCTGCCTGCCCACAGCTGCCACGTCTAGAACTGCTGCCTCTGTGACCAGGGCTGGCCTCAGCCAGTGCTGGTTGAAACACTGTAGGGACACTGTTGTAGGCAGAGGGAAGATGGTTGATGGTTGTTGATGATGGTGATACCCAGATCTGCTTCTGATGGATGGAGCTAAATCCTGTATCTCCAACCCCTCTTAATCCTGTCTTCAACCAGGAAAAAAACCATAACTCACCTTTTGGAGAGCTCAGCTTGACTATGTGAGCAGTGGTTTTTGGGTTTGTCTCATGCTGTGAGGGACTGTGAAATCAGCACAGAACAGATGATTCACCCAGGGGAAGAGGTTGATCAGGCAGCACTTGCCTTTCTGTGCAGGTGTTTTGTGCATTCAGCCACTGGTTCCTCAGGAGCAGACTGGAAAATGAAGGCATGCTGGGATTAAGGGATTTACCTGAGACCTCTCAAGACTCCTTTCCCCTTGTTTTACCTACTAAATATCTCTGCTTCCCTAGAGAAAGTTGAACTCTGGCAGACAGTGGCTTTTTTTCCTTCAGAGGTGTTCCAGGATGGGAATATTCACAGTCCTGTGTTATCCAGTGTCAGCAGAGGGATGGGAACACCTCGGACTGAGGTAAGTCAGCTGATTTATCATTCCTGATTCTTAGAGCAGTCCAGAGTATGATGGGATGGGATCCTCTCAGCTGCCTTGGCTTTTAGTGGGATTGGAATGAAGAGGGTCACAAGAGTTTGAAGTAGTTCCCTTTTTTTTTTTCCTTTTAATCCTTTTTTTCTCCTTTCTTTTTTTCTTTTCTCTTCTTTCTGAAGGTAGTTCTTCACCTTTTCAGGGTGGCAAGAATAGCAGCAGTGAGAGATTTATCCTTGGGGAGGGGAGGATGCAGGGGGATCCAACAGCAGCCATGCAGTACCTACGAGGAGGTTATTGAGAAGACAGCCAGACTCTTCAGAGCAGTGTATGGTGAGAGGAAGAGAGACAACAGGTATTAGGTAAGTAAAGAGAAGTTCAGACTGATGATAAAGACACACTCTTTTCCATGAAGGCAGCCAAGCATGAGCAGCTTGCCCAGAGAAGCTGTGCCATCTCCATCCTCTGAGGTTTTCAAGACCCTACTGGAAAATGAGATCTTACAGTGGACCTTGCTTTGAGCAGAAGGTTGAACAAGAGGCCTGCTGGGGTCCCCTCTGACCTGAAGTGTTCTGCCACACTATGATGAGGTCAACATGGGTGGGCTCAGAGGAATGGCAAACTGCAGGACTGCTCCACCTTCTCACAAGATGAACTCCAACAAGCAGCTGTTCGGGTTCCTGAAGGTTGGAAGTAGGTGGCTGGGCCAGGCTAAGGCCATGGATCACCAGAACTGGCTTCACAGAATCATATAATAGAATCCTAGAATAATTTAGGTTGGAAGGGACCTATAGACCATCTTGTTCCACTACCCACCCATGTGCAGGGACATCTTCCATTAGCCCAGGTTGCTCCAAGCTCCATCCAACCTGGCCTTGGACACTTCCAGGGATGGGGCAACCCCAGCTTCTCTGTGCCAGCCTGTGCCAGGGCCTCCCCACCCTCCCTTCCTCTGTTGTGATTTTTGGAGTTACCTTTTAGTCAGGCTTTTTCACAGCAATGCCAGTGCAGTCACGGGTGCAGTGAACATGCAGCAGCACAAGGAGGAGGTCAGGGAGAGAGAAGCTGGACCAACAGCTGCTGCAGGAACTGGTATACCAAGACACTGGCCTGAAAAGCAAGGGGTCCTAAAAGGATTGTGTGTTCTTTGGAATTCCTTGCTGGATCACTGAAATCTGGTCCGGGATAGCAGGGGTCAAATTAAATCACAGCCCTTATAGAAACAGCAAGACATGGAGAGAAAGGACTCCTAACTCCTCTGGGAAGGAGAAGAGTCATAGGGACTCTTCCACCTTTGCACAAATATCACAGAATCATAGAATCACAGAATCACAGAATGGCCTGGGTTGGAAGGGACCTTAAAGATCATCTCATTCCAAACCCCCACCGTGGGAGGAACACCTTCCACTGGACCAGGCTGCTCTGAGCTCCTCCTCTTCTGCACTAAGACATGGGGTATGATAGAGCCCACACCCTGTCCATGGCATCTCCTGGGCATGTGTCCCATCTCAGGATGCTCCCAGGTGTCAGAATGAAGCAGAAGGAGAACTACAAGGTCTGGCAGCTGCCCGGCTGTGCCTGAGCCGGAGGGACCCAGTGGGATGCAGAGAGATGCTCTCAGTGCCATCCCTGCTGTGCTGCAGGCCAGTCTGGAGCACTGGGGCCTTGGGGGACCACAGGGAGGCTGCAGTGCTTGAGTCAGTGCCTCTGAGCTCAGACTCTCCTAAAAAACCTGGGGACCACAGTGGCTGGGAAGGCTGGGGGTGTGATGTGATGCTCAGCACAGCCGCGGTTCCTCCCTCCGTGTTTGCTGTGACCTCCTTGCAAGGCAGCTTTTGGCACTGAGTTTCACATCCTCTCAAGATCTGCTGGCTATGGCAAAACAAAATTGGCTCTGCACAAGCTCCCAGGCTGCACACACGCACTTCACTGCTGAGGAGATGGAGAGGGCTAAAATTCCTGGTTGCTCACAGGGCAGGTACCTGTCAGCAGGGCAAACCTCACCTGGGGGGTGCTCAGGGTTCCTTCAGCTCGCTCAGCACCCTGATTCCAACTCAGCTTCCCCCTTCCAGCTCAGCTCCCCTCCGGGATGTGCTCTGCTTTGAGTGGGGAGTGCTGGTTCTTTAGCAACTCGACGTCCAGAAAAACCTGCAGTCACGCAACTATATATAGCCCGAGAGAGGCCGTGAATGCGGTGACGCAGTCTGGAAGTGCTTCCTGGCTCTTCTCCAGCAGCTGGGAGCAAGGCACATGGCTTTGGCTTTTTTAGGGGCAGTGGTGTGCAGGGGAGGTGGGGGCTTGGCAGCATGGTGGGCTCAAGGGGGGAATTCATCTTCTTGTGGCCCCGAGTGCAGGCTGGTGGGGTGAGCCAGCAGATGTGGTGTTGGGGCTTGGAAGTGGTTTCAGTGGGACAGAGACTTGATCCAGGAATCACTCAGCTGAAACCTCCTGGTAGATGGGTCTTGGAGCCAAGTCCTGATATGGAGACTCCTGACACTTCACACTGTATGGCTGGGGACCCCCTTTAGCCCCAAAACAGGGGTGAGGGCTCTCAGTGCTGGCACTCCTGGGAGGTCACAGGACTGGCTCTGGTCTCACCCCCTGGTTTCTTCCAGTCTGAGGACTGTAGAGTTCCCTGGGCTGCAAGAACTCATCAGAAGGGATGCACAGACCATCACCACCATTTGTGGCTCCATCAGGGCCAAACCAGGAGGAGCAGAGCACAGCAAGGAGCCAGGTAACCTCAGACCCCCTATACATTGCTCAGAGGGCAGATAATAAACTGGTGGAGACCTTGGACTGGACACCACGCTCAACCAGGGAGGCAAAGCTGGCTCAGACTAGTTGCTGGTTGCTGGGATGGAGTCACTGGGGACTGACACCTTGCTGGGTGCCACACTCATCCTGAAATGCAGGGGTGGTCAGGCTTGGCCACCTCTGCCTCTCTGGCAGCTGCTGGGAACACCCCCAGACAGGACCATGGCACTGTGTGTGCCCTTCCTCTTTTCCCCATGAGAGCTCTGCAAAGAGGGAACCGGGCACAGGAAGGAGCATCTCCAAACTGGCCTCCAAACCAGTCCTTGTCACCTCCCTGCTCCAGAGACTGGACTCCACACTGGAGGGGATCTCTGTGCCAGCAGCTCCTGCACTGACTCCTTCCTCACTCAGCCAGATGCTGCTGCCCCCTGAGCCCAGGGAGCTCCCAGGGCTGGGCATGGCATGAGGGATGGGGTGGTCTGCTGGCTGGTGGGAGCTGCAGGGCTTTGTCTGTAGCCCTGCTCATGACCCAGAGCCATGCTTGGTGCCTGGCTGTCTAGTGGGAACCTCAGATGTCCTTTCCAAGCCAAATGGTAGGTTACTTTGACAGGATTCCACCTGCCCAAATTCTGTCTGCTCCTTCAAGCCTTTTGGGGTGTGCCTGGGGGTGGTCACCCTGGTCAGTGTGCACTCCAAAGAGGGAAATCTGGCCCTGACCACTGCTGCAACCTGTCCTCAAGGAGGGAGTTCTGCAGAGACACGATTCCTGTGCCAAGGGAAAGGCAGGATGTTGTCAGAGCAGGCTCTCACATCCAGGCTGTGCTGGGAGCTGCAGTCATCACCCCTCCCTGTCTGGGTTTGCAACCTGGTCTGCAGGTTGCTTTTCCATGGACAGTCTTTGCCATGATAAAAACTTGATTGTTAACACTGTGTCCTAGTTAGAACATCTGGGACCAGTTCATCATTGTATGGGTGTAACCCAAAACTGTGTATTCTATAGCCTTCCATGCCATTTCCCAGAAACTGTTATCAATGAACCATTTACACTATCTGCACATAGAGCCTGACTCCTCAGGCTATAAACT